TTCCCCATCCCGCCAGGACCGGCCCGGCGCTGCGCGCGCTCTCCCCCTGCTCAGGCACCCGCCCGCTTGGCGTGGCGTCCAGGTCGGCGTGCCCCTGTGGCTGTCTGCCCACACGCCGCCGCGCCAGCCTCGGTGGTCCCTGCGCACTGTGGGCACGGGCTCCCCTGGGTGGGTGGCCCCCGGGGGCCGGGGTGTTCGCTCCAGAGCTCAGCTCCGCGTCCTGGAGATGCCCTGTCGTCCCCCCACCTTGTGGCTGGAGTGTGCGGTGAGGGGTCCGGTCTCCCTGCTCAGGGGCCTGGGGGGCAGGTGCGGCAGGTGCCCCTCACCCGCTCTTCGGGGCTCCCAGCCTCCAGGCCCGGTGACGGGACCAGCGGGTCGGGGCCCCGGGGCCGAGGGAACGGCGAGGCCTGGGTGCCGTCCGGCTGGCCCTTTCCCCGAAGAGCCCGCGCTGCCCTCTGTGCCATGCGCTGGCTCCTTTTCTGCGGGCCACTGAGGGACAGGGCGGTGACAGGCCCCTCTGCACCGAGGCCCGGCCTCCCCCCAGCGCCCCTGGCCCTGGCCAGGGCTCTCCCCGCAGGGTCGCGGCTGCGCCCACGCAGCCCTGTCCTACGCGCGGGCTTGAAACTCACATGGCTCCCGGAAGTCTCAGTAGGTTGGTGTGGAAAGGCGCAACTGTGCCTTGCTCTCCAGGGGTCTGGGTGGCCCAAGCGCTTGATGGGACCTTCCCTCCCAGTCCGTGGTGACTTCCCGCCTGGAGGCATTGCCTCAGCCCGACTCCACGTTGGACGGACGCTGGGAAGAGAGCAAGCGGCCCTTGACTTTTGTCTCCGAGCTGGGAAGCAGACTCGTCGCGGTGCGAGTCCTGGGAGGGCCCCTTCCCCTTCCCCCAACGCGACGCCTGTGGAGTCAGCAGCGCCCCTCGCGCTCCGATGCGCTCACGCCGGGGTGTCGGGCGTCTCCTCGCCTGCCGGCTCCGGGGCTGGGGTGGCCTGCTGTCTGCTGGGCGCTTCGCGAGGCGCCGGGGGTCCACAGGCGGCAGCAGAGCCACGCCTTCCAAGCGCCCTGACTCCTGCGCAGCCTCTGCGTCCAGGCTGGAGAGGCCCTGCGGCCTTTCAGCTGGTGGGGGGAGGGGGGGCTCCGACAGTGGGCGGGGCCTTCCCCTGAGCCCCGCCCATGCCGCCCGCCCCCCACACGCTGGGCCGGGCCATGCTGCTGTCCGAGGGGATGCAGCCCCGCCATCTGGAACACGGCCAACGCCGGGGGCCTGTCCCCAAAGGGCAGGGAGCACCTCCTGGGGCGCACGTGCCCGGGTCTCCCGGGACCAGCTGCGCTCCCGGTGCCCAGGCCCCCCTGCCGGCCGGCCTCCTGGCTCGGGGACAGCGGGCGCGCCCTCCACGGAGCCCGTGCTGCAGCTTGGACCGGGGCGGGCCTTGCGCCCTGCGGGCCTGGCCTCACAGACCGCCCTCCGACCGGGCGGCCGTCTTCCCCTGGTGGTTTTGCTGGGAGACCTGACGCCCCAGGCAGCCGCATGACGTCTGGGTGCTGGTGTCAGGGGCCCGCATGGCCGCTCGCGGGCGGCAACTCCGGCCTCCGCCGGGCCGACGGGGAGTCGGGGAAACCACTGACCTCGGCGGTTTGGTTTCCAACCAACAATTCATTTCACTTTTTCTAAGTAGGTTTTTTCCACAACATCTTTATTGAGATAATTTACATGCCATGAAACTCGGCCCTTCCGTGACCTCGCACAGGCCGGGGGTGCTCACGGTGCGGCCACCTTCCTGGCCGTCCCCAGAGGATGTCCTCATCCGCCCGAAGGAGCCCGCTGCCCTGTCACTCTGGCCGCCTGGACCCACTGTCCTGGGCCTTTCCTGTGACGAGGGCCTCACGCCGTGGCCTCGTGTTGGCTCCCACGGAGCAGCGCTGCCAGGTCTCTCCCGCAGCAGCAAGTGTCCGGGTGTCCGCATGCGTGGACAGCTGCCGCCCATGGGCATTGGACGGCACCCTCCTCGGTTGCTGGGGATGCTCCCACAGGCGCCGGTGTGGATGAGTGGTTTCCAGCATCGAGTCCCTGCGCTGGCGCTGGCGTGGCGTTGCTGGGTCACGTGAGGACTGTTTCCCTCGGGTGCCTCGCACACTGTCCTTGGCGGCCCCGGCGCAGTGGACCCCCCCCCCGCCCGCTGTGTAGGCAGGCCCTCGCCCTCCCCGCGGGCACCAAACCCGTGCCACCCATCCCAGTGAGCGCGCCGAGGCCCCTTGCGCACCCTGCAGTTCTCTCTGTGGGTGACGGTGGCTCCCAGTGCAGTTGTCACAAGTAACAGGTCCCCCAGGGCGGCACCGAGAGCCCCCCAAGGGCTCTAGTCCCTCTCTGTTCTGTTCTTTTGGGTGTTGACCAGGAGCGGGATCCGGGCCGCTGGGTCGCCGCAGTGGCTGCACCACGTCGCGTCCCCGCCGGCCGTGCGCGGGCCCCTCTGTCCCCCCAGCGCCCGCTGCTTCCTGTGCCTGTGGTCGTGGCACCCCCAGCAGGGGGCTCCCTGTGGTGTGGCCCCCGCTCCCCAGCTGGTGTGCGCTGCCCACGCGGCGCTCGGCAGGGGCGCCTGCTCAGGTCTCTCGGCTTTTTTCAGTTGTGCGTGTGCACGCGCGTGCGGCGCGGCTGCCCTCACTGCCTTCTGCGCGCGGGCCCCACCCGACAGCCTGGCCTGCAGGCACGGCCTCCCGCCCGTGGGACGGGCGGTCCCTCCACCGGCCGGCCGGGCGCTGTGCTTTGCCGGGGCTTCGCCTGGGTGGGCTGCCCCCGCCCGCCGGTCCTGTCTGGTCTTCTGTTCCTCGTGCTTCAGTGTCACCTCAGCAGTTTGGCCAGCGTCACAGCTCCTGCGCCCGCCGCGGCAGCGGGCCCCGAGGTCGCGGGGGTCTCGGAGAGGCGGCTCGGGGCGTCCCGGCAGGACCCGCCTTGCGGCCACGGGGGAAGCGGGGTGGTCGCAGTGGCGCTGCTGCCAGGCCGGTGCGGGCGGGCTCTCCGGCCCGGCCGAGCCCTGCGAGGCTGGCATGGCTGCCTCCCGACGGGGCGCACGGCGCGGCCGCCCCCCAGGGAGGCTCTGTGTCGGCCCCTCGTCAGGGAGCTCAGGGACCCAAGTGTTGTTTCGGCTGTGGGGGCGTGGTCAGCGGGCGCCTGGCGCCCCGGCCACCCCGACGCTCGTCCCGTGGTGGCTGCAGCAGGGCTGCTCGGTTTCTGCCGCCAGGGCCGGCCCCTGGGCCCACCTCCCGCCACAGCACCGGGGCGGCCAGGCGACGGCGACCGCGGCCCTGTCTCTGGGGCGGGCCTGGCTGCTCGGCGTCCGCACGTGGGCTTCGCCCCGAGACTGGGTCCCGCGCGCCCGGCCGAGGGCAGAGGACTGGGGCGGGCGGGCGCCTGGGCCTCTCAGGTGGGTGTGGCCCGCCCTGCAGCCCAAGCGTCTGGCACCCGCAGAGGCCTCCCTGAGGTTTCTCGGAATCGGCGCCTGCGGCTTTGCTCTCGGTGAGAACCCTGCGTTTCCTGCCCGTCTGCCGGCTCCGACAGGAAGCCCCACCCTTGCCCCGGAACTGACCCCGCCCGGCTGTGCTCAGGTGGCAGTCGGCGCGGGCTGCAGGCCGAGGGCCCGGCCTCCCCTGACAAACAGCAGCAGGCGGGCCCGTCCTCCCGGAACGGCTGTCTGGGCCCGCGCCCGCCGTCCAGGGCTGGCTGCGGGTTCGCCCCCGAGACGCCTCCCGGTGCTGGGCGGGCAGGCGTGACCGCCGGCGGCTGCTCCTGCCCCAGGAGCGAGGCCCGTGTGGCCAGCACCACTGTGCCCCCGGGGCTGAGGGCTGCAGGCATCCTGGGGTGAAATGGGGGTGGGGGCCTCTGGCGTCCCCACCCCCACCCCACCCCCCGCTTGCCCTCGAGGGGCAGCAGGGCTCACGGCGGCCCCGGTGGGCGGTGGGCCCGTGCAGGCGGGCACACGCATGCCCATGAGCGCTGGCTGTCCCCCTGGTCTGGATGGGGCCTTCCCTCGACCTGGGGGCCTCTTGTCGGGGTCTGGCCTGGCCTGTCACTCGTTTCATAGTGACGACCACAGGTGAGCAGGGTGCCTTGCCTGACCCCTGGCCTCCCACCCCAGGGAGGCCAGGTCTCTGGCACAGTCTCCCCTGAGGAGTCCGAGTCCCTGGAGGTGGGAGGGTGCCCACCTCCGCTGTCTGCCCCGGGGCCAGGCCTGGCAGCATGACCGGGCGTTGTCCCGGCAGCCTTTCACCCTAAGTGGCCTGTGGTGTGGACCCTCGCACGGCCACGCTGGGTGCTCACAGGAGCCGCTCGACAGGGCTGGGCCCCTCAGGCCACGGCTGGGGGGCACCTTCCGTCTCTGAAGACCTGGGGAGAGACCCCGCGCCCCCGGGAGTCCTGGCTGGGAGGCGGCCCTCCCTTGAGGGCCTCTTGGACCCCCTGCCGACGCGCTCAGCTCACTGGTTGCAGACGGTGTCCTGTGTGTTGGGAATGTTGCTTTGGAGGGGTTGTCGCCGTGGGCCATTCATTGCCACCCCCCACGGTGCAGTGGCCCCAGGCCCAGAAGCAGATTTTGAAATTAGTTTTTTGGGGGAAACCCAGCCCTCTGGGGACGCTGTGCGAGACCCCTGGAAGGTTTTGGGCTGCCTGACAGAGGCCCAACCTGGCCAGGGACCTGCCCCAGGCAGGCTGCTCTGCAGAGACCCGGAAAGGGCCCTGGCTCCTGCCGACTGTCCGGCTCGCAGGCCCCGTGCGTTCTTGGGCCTGCGGTGAGGGCCCGTCCTGCCGAGGGCCCGCTGGGTCCTCGGTGCCCTCCTGGGAGCTCTGTGTTGCGGGGCGGGGCTGTGGCCGCCGGCCAGTCCCGCACACGGGCTGGGGCGGAGCAGCCCTGGACGCGCCCCCTGCACACTGGGCTCCGGCGGCCGGCAGACCCTGCCCAGGGTGTGGGTGTCGCCCGAGGTGCCAGTGGGACCGTTTGTGTCACTCACAGGTCTCCTCCGAGCCCCCAGTCTCCATACGAAAAACAGACGACCCTCCCTCCCAGCACCCCACGTCTTCGGAGAAGGACAAGCAGTCAGGCTGGCTGCGGACCCTGGCCAGCTCCTCCAGCAAGGTGTGGGGGCGGACGAGGGTGAGGCCTGGTGGGGGCGAGGGGCGGGGCTGCCAGCACCCTTCCCTGGCCTCTGACCCCGGCTCCCCCTGCCCCTCAGAGCCTGGGCTGTGTTCACCCGCGCCAGCGCCTCTCCGCCTTCCGACCCTGGTCCCCTGCGGTTTCTACGAGTGACAAAGAGCTCTCCCCACACCTCCCAGCCCTGATCCGAGACAGGTAAGGGCCCCCTGCTCAGCAGCCAGTGGTCCCCATGGGCCCAGGGACGGCAGGGCGGACGTGGCCCTGCCGCCCAGGGTGGACGCAGTTCGGGTGTCGGCGCCTCTGGCCTCGGGGCTCCCCTCCGGGTGCTGCACAGCGAGGCGCCAGGTGCACCCCGCCTGCTCGCGTGGCCTGTGCATAACCGCCTCTCCCGCACGCTCTGGCACCCGACTGCCCGCTGAGCTGCCCTGGGCTGCGGGGCAGGGACCACCCCTGTTGGAGTCGCCGGTGGGGTGTCTCTGCAGGGTGTGAGGGCAGTTTCCAGGCTTCAGGCCCGGCCCCAGCTGCCTGGCACGGCGAGTGTTGGTTTCAAGGGGCGTCAGGGTGAGCTCATCCAGAACTTTCCGAGCGTTAGGATCCGGCCGCGGCCCACTCGGGGCGGCCGTGCGTCAGCTTCCCGCTTCTTGTCCTGCGCACTTGTGGTCTGGGCCCCGGGGTGGGGGGGTCGGTGTCGGTGTCGGTCGCACCTGCAGTCCCAGTGACCATCTGCCCCCGCAGCTTTTACTCCTACAAGAGCTTCGAGACCGGCGTGGCCCCCAACGTGGCCCTGGCCCCGCCTGCCCAGCAGAAGGTCGTGAGCAGCCCTCCATGCGCCACCATCGTGTCCCGGGCCCCCGAGCCCCTCGCCACCTGCGTCCAGCCGCGGAAGCGGAAGCTCACCGCGGACACGCCTGGGGCCACAGAGACGCCAGCGCCTACGGCTGCCCCGGAGGACGACAAGGACTCGGAGGCCGAGGTGGAGGTGGAGAGCAGAGAGGAGTGTACGTGTGAGCCGCCGCCGGCTGGCCCTTCCTGGCGGGGGCTGTGGCGCGTGCTCACCTGTGACCTGCACCTGTTTCTGTTTCCACAGTCACCTCCTCCCTGTCCTCGCTCTCCTCTCCGTCCTTTACCTCATCCAGCTCTGCCAAGGACCTGAGCTCCCCAGGTGTGCACGCCCCGCCGGCCCCGTCTGCGGCCCCTGACACCGCGGCCCCCGCCGATGCCCCGAGTGGGGGGCTGGAGGCGGAGCTGGAGCACCTGCGTCAAGCCCTGGAGGGCGGCCTGGACACCAAGGAGGCCAAAGAGAAGTTCCTGCACGAGGTGGTGAAGATGCGCGTGAAGCAGGAGGAGAAGCTGAGCGCCGCCCTGCAGGCCAAGCGCAGCCTCCACCAGGTGAGCGCCCGGCGGGCCGGGCTGGCTGTGCCTCTGGGGCTGTGGACGAGGGCAGGCGTCTGCGAGGAGCCCGAGGCGGTTCGCACTCCACTGTGCCGCGCACAGGCCAGCGGGCCTGTTGTCCACAGGAAGCGGCTCTGTGCTCCAGGGGTTGGCGCCGGGCCCCAGCAGCGGGGGTGTGGGCGTGACGTGCGGCCCCGGAGCCCGGCTCGGGAAGCAGGGGCGCTGGGCACTCGCCCGCCGGCCCGCACACGCTCCCCTGGCAGAGGGGCTGGAGGCCTGATGTGGCCTGCGCCCACCTGCACCCGCTCGCGCCGCGCGGGCAGCCAGGTCCTCGGGGGGCCCTGAGCGCGGCCAGGCTCCCGGCTCGGCGTCCGCCTTCCCTCGCTCGCTCGCTGCTTCTCTGACGAGCGAGCAGCAGAGCGAGCGGCAGCCGAGAGCTCCCAGCGCCTGGGGGCGGGCGGGGCCTTCACACCAGCTTTGCTGAATTCACACCTCTGCGGCGTCTGGCAGCTCGGGAAGGCTTCACACGTGGGCTGCTAGCACAACACAGCCCCGCGGTCCCGAGAGCCCCGGGGTTCCAGACGCTGCCGCCCCCCCCGCCCCCCCCACTGTGCTCCAGGCTTCAGGCTCAGGAGGCGCCCCCTCCCTCCGTCCTGGTTCTGGTTGGAGGTGTGACTTCCCACATGCATATTTATAAGCACGTTTGCAGGGGTGAGTCACTGATAACCAGCTGGAGAAGGCACTCACAGGGGGCTGTTTCCATGGGGCTCGGCGCGCCTGCCGCCGGAGCCGAGAGAACCCCTGGCTGAAAGGAAGTCCCAGGGAGCTTGGCGCAGGGAAGGGGGTGCATTGGAGGCCCCTTGGCCCTTTCCGAGGGCTGCGGCCTCCCCGTCAGACCCTGGGCCCAGAGCGGGTGCTGGCGGGAGCATGGGGCCGTGGCTCGCAGAGAGGAGGCGGGGCCCTGTGGGGATGGGCCCGGAGGCTGTGGAGCCGGGGGAGTCCCAGCAATGGGGCGCCTCTGGCGTCGCGGGTGCCCTGACGCATCCCAGGAGGCGGGAGGGCGGGCGGAGCGTGTGGCTTGAGTTGCAGCGGGCACCCTGGAAGGGGTGTGGCGTGGCGGGCAGGCGGGCGGAGCTGGGGGCCCGCAGGGTCGGACGGGCCGTGACGCCAGCCTCGCCCCAGGAGCTGGAGTTCCTGCGCGTGGCCAAGAAGGAGAAGCTGCGTGAGGCCACGGAGGCGAAGCGCAACCTGCGGAAGGAGATCGAGCGCCTGCGCGCGGAGAATGAGAAGAAGATGAAAGAGGCCAACGAGGCCCGGCTGCGCCTGAAGCGGGAGCTGGAGCAGGCGCGGCAGGTGCGGGTGTGCGACAAGGGCTGCGAGGCCGGCCGCCTGCGCGCCAAGTACTCGGCCCAGGTACGCGGGTGGGCAGAGGGGCTGAGCTGGGGCCGGGGGTCCCGGAACAGCCTGCGCGGCCATCCGACTGGCCGGCACGCGGGGCCCCGGGGCGGTGGGCTCGGCGGTCCCTCCCTCGGCCTCACTGAGGCTCCAGGAGCTGGGCCTGGGCCGGGGGAGCCCCGCCTCGCCCCTCGGGCTCCTCGTGCCCAGCTGGTGGCAGGAGCTGGTCTGGACAGACACCCCGCCCGAGAGGCCCTCCCCAGCCCGGGCGACGGGGCTGCTGACGCTCAGGGTGTCTTTCAGATCGAGGACCTGCAGGTGAAGCTGCAACACGCGGAGGCCGACCGTGAGCAGCTGCGCGCCGACCTGCTGCGGGAGCGCGAGGCGCGGGAACACCTGGAGAAGGTGGTCAAGGAGCTGCAGGAGCAGCTGTGGCCGCGGCCCCGCCCCGAGGCCGGGGGCGGCGGCAGCGAGAGTGCCACGGAGCTGGAGCCCTAGCGACCCGCCGCCTGCTGTCCCTGGGTTCGCGGCGGGGCCGGGCCGCTGGGGGCTCTGCGCGGGGCGGGGCGCCCCGTTCCCAGCCCATATAGCACAACGTCTTACTGTGCCTACAACCAAGCGAGTGTTTGGAACCACATACTTTTGGAATCCACTGCAAAATTTTCTACTGGCCAAGTTCAAGCGAGCAAGCTGGGTCCCCACCTGTGGCCGGAAACAAGGCCAGCTCGGTGGCTGCAGCCGGCCTCTGCCTGCTGGAACGTTCTAACATTTACACTTTTGTTATAAGCTATTTAAACCAGTAAGAAGACTTGATATTCAGAAAAGAAATCGACACGTTTTTTAATGACTAACTTTTAAAAGCCCCACCAACACGTGACGCCATTTGAGGACCCACTGAGGGGCCGGGGCGGCAGCTGCCCGCCCGGCGAAGCCATCACAGCTCCCCTGCGCCGGCGGCTGCATGAGGACAGGAAGGGCTTTTCTCCAGAGTCTATATTTTTTCAGCGACAAGGACCCGGGTCTCCCGTGCTGCCGCCCGGAAGAGCGAGGAGAGGGCGCCCTGAGCTGACACTGCCGCCTTACGCCCGCCGCCCCGTCCCCGTCCCCGTCCCCCTCCCCGTCCCCGTCCCAGTCCCAGTCCCCTCGGCAGGTGTTCCCGGGCGCCGCCGGGGCGCCGCCCACTGGGAGGGGACAGCGGACCGGCTGCACCGCCCGGCCGGGCAGCCCCCCCTCCCCTGGGCAGACGTCGCTCCCTCCTGGGACTGAGGCTGCAGCATTGGAACAAAACAGCATTATTTCACTTTTTCTTTTTCTTTTTGTTTGTTTGTTCATTTAAACGTATATTTAGAACTGCACTTTGTCACACATCTTCCCTCCCGTTTTTATCCCCTGGCTGACTGAGGTTCTCACTTTCCGAACGCTGAAGCCGCTGTTGCTAGAGCCGGCCGCCGCGGCGCTCCGGCGCTCGGCAGCCCTCTGGTGCTGTCGGACAAGGGATCGCGGGACGCGAAAGCTGGACTCGGGGGGTAGTTCTGTGCCTTCCAGCATCTTGTGCAGCCAGCCCGACTCGTCTCTTACCCCCAGATGTGTCTTCAGTAGCAATCGACTCTGCCACTATCAAAATAAGTTCCTTGCATTTATTCCAAATAATCTCGTTTACTCTCGACTGTTTATGCAAGTTGTAGAAGGTTTCCTACACCCAGGCTCGACCACGATTTCCCGGTAGACCAGAGGCGCTGCCTGCCCGGACGCGGCGGTGGCGGCGGTGGCGACATGCGCGAGGAAGACCGTCCCGGGACTCCCGCCGGCCTCCGTTCCCGCGCCGCAGCCTCTGTGCGGGCAGGCCGGCCCAGGGCGGAGATATGGGTGCTGACGTCCCCTGTGGGGTATCGCCCTTGGTTTACTGGGGGGCCCGGGTGCCGCTGGGCCCCCTTCTGAAGTGCAATGCAAAAGGGACACCGTGTATACGCAGCGTGTGTTTGGGTTTTGTTTTTCTTCTTGCTTTGTGTTCTTTCGCAGTCAGTAACTCTGTATGCATGGGATGGCAGCCTCTGCCACACGGACACCCCTCGGTGGGCATTATCGCCGCATCGTGTAAAGGCTTGGTTGCTAGGCGACTGTCAGAACGCCATGTCGGCCTTGTTTTTCCAGAGTTGTGTTATTTTCGGTCATTTTTCAAGGGAAACTAAATGGCTTAGTTGGAGCAAAGCTTCACGTGTGTCGGTGTGCTTCTGTGCGACGCGCTGCCCAGCCTGGGCGCTCCGTGGCCCCCGAGCTGCCAGGCTCCGGGGGGGGGTGAACTTTCTAGGTGGTGCTCCAGGGCGCGGCCCGTTCCACCCCTCCGGCACCTCTGCGGGAGGAGCTGGACAGGCGGCCGAGGCGCGTCTCCTGGGGCTGGGGGGGTGTGCGAGGCCCGGGGCCGCGGAGCCACAGGACGCGAGGCGGACGGTGGGCTCCCGTCACCAGCAGCTTGACCTTCCCTGGCAGCTCCCTGAGCGAGGCCGGCGGGCGGGCGCGGGTGTCGGGTGTCCGCCACCTCTGCCCTGGGCGCACCCGCGGCTCCCGGCCTTTCCAAGGCCGAGGAGGGATCTGTCTTGTGGGCTGTTGACTCCCCGTGTGTGGCACTTGTTGTCGGACGACTGTGTATTTAGTTGAGTTACTCATTTTTTTGTGCTGGAAGAGACTTCACGAAGGGAAATACAACAGCAATAACACATCATGGAGCAGCTAACTCACACCCGAGACTCCGCTTCCGTTCAGAACTGGCTGGCGACAGACCTCGCCTGTAAATACTCCCGTTACACTCTGTATCATACGTGTACAGGGGGGTTCCGGAAACCCTTTCTTACCTGGTAGTTGTCTTGTTTTCTGGGTGGTTTTCACGGAACATGCTCCTCCACCGGAAGGGGCTGGGGAGACCCTGCCCCTCGGGCGCCCAGCCTGCCCAGCCCCGTTCACGGGCGCCCGAGGAAGCATGTTCTTGCTTCAAGTCAGGAGTCACGAACGACCTTTTTTTTCGATTAAGGAAAAAAAAAAAACACAGCTCTACCTTTGTATCCGCCAGGAGCGTCCGCATCGCGTCCCCATCCCTCCTCTGCTGCTGCTAATGACGATATGATGACTTACTCTACTATCCGAAAACTATTTTTATGTAATTAATGTATGCGCTCTTGTTTATAAATGCCTGATTTAAAAAGAGACCGCTTGGCATATTTTCTCTCTTCCGCTCTGTCCCCGTTGTGCCTTGGCGCCCCTCCCCCAGCCGTGACCTTGTGCCACGGAGGGCATGGCGCGAGCTTCCTGCCCAAGCTCAGTGCTGTGCACCCGCCTTGCCTGGCCCCCCAGAGCCAGCCCATGTCTCTAATGAGGGGGGTGGGGCGTCAGAACCCTGGACCCCAAAGTGTTACCCTGAGGGAGAAGCAGAGGCCCCCCACACGCCTGCCTGGCTCTCGGGAGGCTTCCCCAGAGCCCGCCGCGCTGGCCCGGGCGCCGGGCTTCCTTTGGGCGCCCATACCCGCTTCCCGGCCCCGCCACAGCCTCTCACTGGTCACTGGGAGAGGCTGGCGGGCGGGAGCTCGGGTGCAGCCCAGCCCAGGCCCACGCCACCGCCCCCCGCTGGCTCCTGCAGCCTCGGGGAACCCCTGGACCTGGGACCAGGGGTGCTTGCTGCACGTGCACCACCACGCCCGGGGGGCCTGAAACTGCCCACGTCGCTGCGGGGCTGGCCAGGCTGGCAGGGGGGACCGTGGGGCCCGGGGTGACATCACGGACAGCCTGGGCCCCCGACAGCTGCTGCTTCTGGGCCAGGAGGCGGGCGGGCCCGGCGGGTGCAGGCCGGGATCCCTGCCTGGGGTCCTGAGGCCCCGCGGGGTGGGTGGCCAACGCCTCCGTGGGGCACCGCCATCCCCACCAGAGCTGCCCCTCAGCCCAGGCTCCCCCTGAACCCGGCCCTCCGCGCCCTCCGCGCCCCCCCCGCCCCCCCGTTGTGGGGCTGGAGTCCGGGCAGGCTGGGCGCCAGGCTCTGCCCTCCGCGGGGCACCATCCAGACCCCCACACCAGGGGAGGGAGGACGGGGTGACGGTGGGGCGGCCAGACTCCGGTCCGCGTTCCCGGGGGCCCCAGGCCCTCTGTGGCTGTGGTGTGGCCGAGGGGCCGAGTGCAGCGGGGTGGGCCCCGGCCGCCTGCCTTCAGGGACTGGTCCAGACCCGCTGTCATCGCCCACCCCAGAGCTGCCAGGCGGGGCCGCTGTGAGGCCCGGGCGGGGCGGGGAGGGGCGGGCCTGCGGCAGGCCCCCAGGAGGCTGGTCCTGCCGGGAGCTGCGGGCGGGTGTCCGCGTGGCCCTGCAGCGGGGCCAGTGCCGGCTCCCAGCTCCGGGCTCCCGGCTCCATCAGTGGCCAGGCTGCCCCAGGCTTCGCTTCGGGTATGAATTTAGAGCCTGAAAGAGGCCCTGGCCACCCCCAACGCAGAGCAGACAGGATGGGTGTCCCCTGGTGTCAGAACTCCTTCCCCTGCCATTCTAGGGGGGGTCAGGGAGCTCCTGTGGGGGGAAGGGGAGGTCAGCATAGGGGAGCCACCGCGGGGCGCGGCCTCTGCCACCGGTGCCTGGGGGCGACGTCAGTCCACTGCAGAGGGTGCTCCCGGGAGGCTGCTGGGGTCTCCGGTCAGACCCTGTCCCCACCCCAAGCTTTCACTTCTGCCTGTCACCGGCAGCCTGGCCACCCCCGCCCTCGGCTCTCAGCTGTGCCTGCCTGTCCCCCCTCGGGCCCCCACCCCCACACCAGGCCGCAGCCTGGCCCCCAGGACCCCACCCTCCGCCCTGCGGCCGGGGGCTGACTCGCTGGCGGAGAACCAGGCCCTTGTCTGGGTAGGTGGATGCCAGGCGCACCCTCCTGGAAAGAGGAAGCTGCCCGCCCACCCCGAGCCTGCCCATGGCACGGCCTCAGCCTCCACCCCGCCCGCGCCCCAGCCCGCCCTGCACCCCCAATGCGCCGTGACGCCCCTGCGCCTCGGTCCTGCCTGTCCCGTCTCAGGGTCACCTCCCCGTGCTGGCAGGGAGAGACGGGCCGGAGGAGCCCGCGGTCAGGCCCCAGTCAGACCAAGGGCTCCTCCCGACAGACCTCCGGCCCTGGCCGGGCCCAGGTCGCCCGGGTGACCATCCCCTGGAGAGAGGTGGGGACCCTGTGGGGAAAGTAGGGGCTGGCCCGCCCCTCCGGCCTGTCCCTGAGGACAGCCTGCGCCCTCCCGAGAGGGTAGGGCGGGGACCCTGCCCTGCTGGCCAGTGGGATGTGAAACCAGGGCCTTGGGTGGGACCCCAAGCCCCCGGACACCCACTGCGCTCGGGGGCAGCAGCCCATACCCTCCTGCCTACCCTGCCCGGGCCAGACCCTGGAAGGGGTGGGAACAGAACTTTGGGGGCCTGGCTGCCCGCCAGCCGCTGCCCCCACGTAACGATGACGTGTGCCCTGCCGGCCCCACGCACGCAGCCATCTGCGCCCAGGCCTGTGCCAGGGCTGGGGGCCATGGGGGCTGAGGCTCCCAGCCCTGGAGCAGGTGGCCCCACGGCAGGGGGGTGGACAGGCAGGTGGAGCCGGCCTGGCGGGGCTTCGGAGCGTCCTGTGCCGGGCAGGTGTCCGGCTGTGCTGGGGTGGGGCCTTGCCGCTCCACGCCTGGCCTGGCAGCCCTTACGGGCAGGAAGCTTGGCCCAGGCTCACTCTCAGGTCCCTCCTGCTGCCACGGAGGCCTGTTCCAGAAACCTCCGGGGACAGGGCACCTTGTGACGGAGGCAGCTTGAGGTCGGGGCTCAGATGCCTGTCCCCACGAGGCCCCCATCAGAGGACACGTGTCCAGGGCCACTCGAGTCCAGGTCCAGGCCCGGGCAGGGTTGGGAAAGAGGGGAAGGCAGGTGAGGCGGCCTGGTGCCCAGCAAAGTCCCTTAAGCACTGGCTCCCACCCGGGGCCAGGCTGCGTTGCCCAGGAAGACTGTCGGGAGGCCCTGGCACCCCCATGCTGCGTGCACAACAAAGCCCGGCCGGCGTGGACAAAAGCCTGTGCGTGTGAGGGTGCCCTCCCCGCCCCCCATGTCCTCCGCCCGTCCCCTCACCCTCTCCCACAGGCCCCCTCGCCCGCTCTCAGAACCCGCTGGCCCCTCCGGATGAAGGGCCACCGATGCCCCGGCCGGCCCACCCCACAGGCCCTCGTTCCCATCTCGGTGGGGCCCCCAGTCCACAGCAAGGGCGGGGGAGCCATCAGGAGACCCCCCAGGAGCAAGGCTGCACTTCGTGCCCCCCAAAGCCAAGCCTCCCAGGCTCTGGCCAGGCAGGTGTGGTGGGGCGGCCGGCCTGGCCGAGGGGCTAGGAGGCAGCCACACCCGCTCCTGTGCCCACATTCGCGCCTGGTCCGCACCCAGGAGGCCTGCGAGGGCGGCACGCGCGGGGCAGGAGCCGAAGAGGGCCCACACCAGCACGCTGCCCAGTGAATGGGTGCAGGGCTGGGGGCTCCGCTGGACCGGAGGGGGGGCTGGGCCACAGGAGGTCGGGGGGCTGGAGGGACCAAGGCGCCAGGCACGGGGGCGGGGGGCACCTCGTCTGCAGCACCTCTCCCGGCCTCGGGAGGCCGGTGTCTGTATGTGCTCATGTGCGCACACGCCTGCGGGCAAAGACGCACACACCTGGGCTGCAAGGCTGGGGACTGGCAGGCGGGAGGCCAGGACCCGGAGCGGGAGCGCCTGCTGCCCAGAGCCCCCCTGTGGGACTGGCCAAGGCGGGCCGACGGGGCGGTGGCCCCAGGGCAGAGCCAGAGCGAGGCGGGCAGCCCAGGCCCCGCTGAGGGAGGCACACGGGTGTCCCCCTTCCACTTTGGGCCTGGGGGCTGCAAGGGGGCGAGTTCCTACGGGCCGAACCCCCGTCCTGCCCTGCCCTTGGCGGGGGCTGTGACCTGCTGGCATGTGGCAGACACCCTGACTTCCTGTTTCTAAGTAAAAACCGTCCCAGAAAAGGCCCTGGTGGCTGGGGGAGGAGGCTCGGGGCTCGGCCTGGGGAGCCTGAGCTGGGCTGGGAGGGGCTTGCTGCGTCCAGAGGCCCGGGCGCTGCCGGGCGGCTGCAGTGGGTGCGGCCTGCCCCGTTGCTGGCCTGTGGCCGGCGCAGCCAGCTGCTTCCCAGGGGCAGGAAGGCAGCGGCCTCCTGGGACAGGCCTGAGTGTTGGGGGCCGCCCAGGGCTGGCTGGGCTCCTCTGACGCAGCGGCCACCGGGTGCTCTCCTCACAGGCGCCTCGTCGGGGCGGGCCCTGCTAGCGCCCTGTCCTGCACCCTCGTGCGTGGGGTTGGCAGCAGACAGGGCAGAAGGACCCCGAGGGCCCCGCCTGCCCCCTGCCCTGGAGCACGCGTGTCCCCTCGTTGCTATCTCTGGGAGAAGGGCGGGGCAGAGAACCTCCTGGGAGCCAGGGCGCTGGTTCCAAAAGTTCCAAAATTCGTGCTCCTTCTGGCCTGGCAGCAAGCTAGGCTGGGGAGGCCCGAGGGGTCCTCCCGGCAACGCTTTCTGGAGGACTCTGCGCCCCTTTGCCGTCCAGGGCGGCGGAGCCAGCACGCGTGCCCGTGGGCGCGGGGTCTGCACCCTGAGTCGAGCGGGAGTGGGCGTCGCCGGGCGGTGAGTCACCGGACGGGGCCCCGCCCTCCGTGGGGGCAGGGCAGGCCCTCCTCCCACGGGTCCGCCTCCGGGACCGCGGACCGGCCTGAGAGGGGAGGGTGCTTCGCGGGGGGCCAGAGGGCCGCGCAGCTGCCCCGTCGTCGCGCCCCTCGGGAAGCGCGACTGAGCCCCCCCGCCCACGCCTCCCGGTTTCACTTCCCCGCCCGCACCCGGCCTCGGCCGCGAGGTTCCGTCCGAACACCCGGCCGCCCGGGCCTCGACGGCGGGGGCCCCCGGCTTCCGGCCCGGCGGCCTTAGGGGACCGGGGGCTACGCTTCCGGAGCGCCTCCCGCGCTCGGGGCCGCAGGCTCCACGCCTGCACAGGCCCGACCCATCGCCACTTCCCCGCGCGGGGCGGGGCCTGGGGACCGGGGCCGGGCAGACCGCGGGCTCCGGGGCGGCGCCGCGGGAACCCCGCGCGGGGCGCTGGGGAGGGAAGAGCGCTTGAGCGCGGCGAACCCATCTCACCCCCGATGCCGGCGGGGGAGCAGGCACCGGGGCTGGGGCGGGGCCTG